TCCAGCCCCCCTAAAATAGGCCTAGTGACGCCACTGAGAGGAATACCAGATGGCAAGAATTTAGACAAAATAAAGCCTTGTTGAAGTAAATGTAAAGAGTTTAAAGAGACTATTAAAAACTGCAAATGGAGGAAGTGCAACGTTTGGGCTTTTTAAAGGGATGAACCCAAAAGTGCAAACTAAAACCTCTGACGAAGTAAAAAGTACTTGAACAAAAACTTTTATTAAACAAAGGAAAAGGCCGTCCAGACAGTAAAAAAGTACATACAAAACACTAAGTGAGGCAAAACTTACACAACACACTGACATCAGTTACAAGGACAAATAAAAAAGCATGTCAGACAATCAAGTTCCACAAAAATGTAAACCGCCCGCAGAGGAAAACATTAATTTGTCTGTAGAAAAACTAATTTTACTCATGCCATTAACTGCATTGATTGAGCTAAATACAAAACAAAAAAGATTAAAATAACAACCAGRGGTGCTGAAAAACTTTAGAGATTTAAAGAGCTGTTTTGGAAAAACATCAACAAAACACTAGAAATAAATGGGAGACCAGGAATGTTGGATGATAAACCCATTTATAAAATCCACAATGGAGTCTCATTGCAAATGGACAGGAATTTAAAGAATATATTGAAAGACTGGAAGAGAAACCAAAAATATTTTGTGTACAGAAAATAAAACCAGGAAAATACAATACAAAACCAGAAAACTAAAGACAGATTACACTATCATGTAAAACAATAAAAAATGTTAAATGATAGATTAAAATATTATTTGAATATTAAAACTTTTAAAAGATATATATATTTTCTACCAAATATCAAAGTGTTTTTTTAACGATTTAAACTTTATTGTTTTTTTTTTTTTTTATGAAACAAAGTAATACAAGCACATTGACAATAAAATAAGACAAAAAATTTCTTGGAGTAAAACTGTAACATAAAAAATACAACGGAAGAATAATAACAGAAATATTAGTCAAAAGAAAAGAAGTAAATAAATAAATTTACATGAATGCAACCAATAAACGAACTAGAACTTCACCCAATGAGAGGATCTATGGTAAATATCTGGTATTATAACTTTACACAGCTCCATCCAGGCTGGCAGATAGGGGCTCCATTTCCGATAAAACAATTCTGTCTGATCAAAATTTTAAATGAGATGCCTTCTAATGCAACCAGTTTACAAAAATCCTTGGTGATCAAAGTGGTCTTTGAAAGATATTTATGTTTATAATGTAGGGGAAATATGACTCAAAAGAACATGAAATCAGAAAAGGGCAGATAGATTTTTAAAAAAGTGTAGTGGCTGTAGTCTTYGTTATAGAAAACATGTATGTTGTGGAATTTTAAAGAGTAACTAACCCCACAGACACTTTTTCACAGATTATCTGTCTAAAATGTGTCTAATGGATTGTATCTTTAGATTTCTGTGCAAATTTTGACATTTTTGTGTAAAAYTGTATAAATCTGCAAWATTTGGTCTAAAAATTTCTCWTTGTTGCCCTCTAYGGGTTGAACAGTAGCTACTGCAGTTAGATTTTCCTATTGGTTAAAACGGTACAGGCTGACACTGCTTTATGCTTACATCATGGCTCTCATGTTGTGGTATAAAAGCATCGCATTCAGACAAAACCCTGCAGCGAGTCGGGTTGGAACAGTGTGACAAAAGTTTGTTACTGCTTTGAACATTAGCCCATGTTAGCAATAAAGCTAACATCAATTTACACACACATTGCCTGGCTGCGYAGAYTTCATGCATCACTGAGTCAGCTCCTAGAACCAGCAGCTCCATCCAATATGGCTCCAGCCCACTGGGCTCCACAACCTGAGCCCTCCTTAACCTCCGGTGAGGAKGGGGGTGAAAAGTCTACCTGTGTTGCTGTGGTCACTCAGTGTTTAATGGAGAAACCTACGGCTGTTCTCACAGGCTGAAACGCAGCGTGAAGCTGAAGCATAGACATCTGCCTCATATCAGTCATAAAACAAACTGAATGAACTTACTTTAGTGATCATCTTTGTGGTTCAATATATTTTTTAATTAACTACAAAGTTGCTGTGCACACAGAGTTTAGATCAAGCTTTAAAAAACGACCTGCAAGCCCAAATCCAACCCGACATTTTAATTACGATAATGCGGGTCAGGTTCTGGGCCAGGCCATGAATCTATATTATATTGTCGCGTCATGTTCAATGTTCCCTCTGTAATAAATGTGTTTTTTTGATGTGTAATCTTGCGAGCAGAGCCTCTGCAGCGCAGATTTGTTTCATGTCAAGCAACCTGACCACTCCACCTCTATGGCGGTGTGATACTTCCTGGGGTGGTGTGGTTTGGGACGGATGGAGCCCAGCCGATGTGGCTGTGATAAAGAGCCTTGTGTGTGTGTTTTTTTTATTTAAAAAAAACTATGCAAGTTAGAATATGACAAGAAAATTCTAGAAAATATGTTGCGGAAAACGGAGCACCTCAAGGCAGAATGATAAGTCCATCATTGTTTTCTATGATAAATTATATTTTTGTAGGTTGGAGGGGATAGGCTGTTAACTCTTTAATGTTGTAGCCATCTGGAAGATCAGTCAAAATGTTGAGTTCAAATTAAAGGAAGAACAAGATGTCATTAATAAAATAGTAATATAAATGGTATTTGCACAGAAAAGAATTCCGGAAGTAATGAAACTGAAGTAGTGCAATCAAGAAATAGAACAAGTTAAGTGCAGAAYACTTTTAAGAATATGGTTCAATGAGAAAACAATATGTAATATACATATACAAAAACTTTTGAACTAATGTAAAAAAACATTCTAAAAATCACGAGAGGTTTWGCAGGACATCATTGCAGAGCAGATAGACCAGATTACAGAGAATATTTACAGGAATGACCAGATCAAATATAGATTATGGCAGTAACAGTTCAAAAACCTCCTTTAGAAACATCATTAAAGCAGTACTTCCACAGCTTAGACCTGAYATCATATTCCCATACTTTCATTTCATACCACGTTCTTTTGTATAAAAGACAAGAAAAGCATTTAAACTTTTGATAAATGAGGGCTTTATCTGAGCTCTTCATAATAAAATATGGCTTCAGAACTCAAATTTGACATGAACCTCAACTAATATTAATTGATTTTACTTACAGTATTTATTTCATTTCACAATACGTAACCATGATGCTTAGCAATGGTGGCTCGTGAAGTCCATAAATGTTTCCTGCAGTTGGTTTAGTTCGAAGCCTGTCTGTATTCACACCAGAAGCAGACCGAGACCACCTCAAAATGGGTCTTGGTCCAGTTGTTTGGTCTGCGCCAGTGTTCATGAGTGTATTCACACCTGCGTAAAAGGTTTGGACCAACAGGGAAAACAGCCTAAGAATCAATGCTGCTCTATCTGATTAGTTCACAGATGTAGTGTTTGATTAAAAGAGAAGTAATTCAAAAATCTTACCCACACAATGCTTCAACAGCTGACTTGTGAAAGTAAAAATGTCAACAGTGAAGACTTCCCTCAGAAATGCGGCTAACATTTTATTTGGATTTTCCCACTTGGTTTCATATGCTGTGCTGAATAAGCATTCTTACCACTTCCAAAAAGTCTTTTAAAACAAAACGGGCTGTAGTCATGTTTTTTKAATATTTTTAGATTTGCCATGTCCTGAATGACTATCTACACCAGCATACTATACCACTTSATTTGTAAGACCATTATAAGGCACCTAAAAAACTAGAAAGCCATAGAAAGTGTTGTCAATAAACAAACAAAAATAGAACAAAGGATAAAACCTGGCATAAATGAACAGAAGAAGTAAAAAATATGAAAGGATTTAAAAAGCACAACAATGTCAAAGTCAATATCTAATCTCTCAAACAACTTGGGCCTACGATTGTAAAACCTACCTGAGCATCATGGCATCCTTGGAAATGTAAAGTCACCTGATATGCTGAGCTCAGAGAACATATGGTAGGCTACATTTGGCTGCAGCAGTTCAGAGACATAAGAGGAGGGCAGAACTGTTAAAAGACTTGAAAATAGTAAGAGTTTATAAATGAGTTTGTACTGAAAGGCAGCCAAATCTGGAGAGATTTATTGTCTTTTGCCTGTACCAGTTTTAAAAATTGAGCAGCARTATTTTGTACCAGTTGCAAACGAGCAACAGAAGCCTAAATTCCAAATAGAAGAGCACTTTACTAATGAAGCCGAGATGTAATAAAGTCACAAATTAATGTTTCCAGACTTCATTTAGACACATGTTTCATTGTAGACAAGGATTTACTGTAACAGTTGCATTCATATGGAAATAGATTAATTTCACTGGAACACAATAAAACACTCAAAGTTATTTTTCTATAATACACATGATGCCATTCTGCTGCACAATGAGCTATAAGAACCATTGTTGTTGTTTTTATCACCGTTGTAGCTATCATGATTCAGAGGGTTAAAGTACTGTTGTGAGGACGCATTACCTGAGAATGAAAAACAGATTACATGAGCCAAATGGTTTTAAACAGTGATTAATAAATGTAGTTATTCCACCATCAAACCTTTAAAGCATCTTGCACTGATATAAATCCTACAAGACTGACCACAGAAGATTTTTAGCATAGTTATAAAAAGTGAAACAAAAAGCTTTTCAGAGTTTCTGTTTTCTACTTTACTGGAACTGCATACCAGAAACTAGGAAAAAAATAACAATTACATAACGGAGGGTGAAATATCCAAAATAATTGCAAATATATTGTAAATATGTGCATTAAAAACTTAAAACCTGCATGAACAAAACWTTATATAAAATACTTTCAGGAATAAATAAAATCAAAATATTACCTCAAGAAAAAAAAATTCCAMGATTGCTTGAAGCTTAGCAAGACGATCAGGTTGGTCCTCTTCACCAGATTCAGTTCCTGTTTGAGTATGGTAATTGTGTAAGTATTTAAGAGGTCATGTGTTCTTCTTCCTGCTTCACTCTGTGTTGTTTGACAGTCAAAACTGACTGTCGGRGTGAGAGAAAACACAAGTTTGCTCTTGAAGATCCTTAACTTCAGGTAAGATTTTTCTTAAAGATTAGTCTTTAAAGAAACAGCAACAAAAACCATTTGAGCTATTCACCACAAAATAACAAATGAAATAAGCTGGATTATAACAAGGCATAAACTTTATATTACAGGTTTGTTTAAATGCTGAACTCATGCAGTTTAATTAAGATTTTGTATGTTTTATAATAAGAATGATTTTTTTTCTTTGTGTTTTAACTCATCTTTTTGCAGTTTGCATTTAAATGTAACCCACACATTTTGGTCAACTTCAAAGCAATAAATAAGACACTGGTTTGTAAACTGGTTGTCATTGCTCTTATCTAAATGTAATGCCTTCCGTCTAATAAGTATCTGTTTATAATATGTGCAGCATTTCTTCAGTGAAGTGGACAAAGCTCGTGGGTGAGCTCTTACTCTGCCTAATTTAATAAAAGCTTCCTAATGAAAACGTTAGCGGTCATGTGGCTCCATCTGAGAGAACAGACGGCTTTTTCACAGACCGCCTCTGCAAAACTCCCTAACATATTCAAATGCTGTTTTCAGTTCTCATCACATAATATCATTGAGAACATTTTTTCAGAAAGAGTACTTTTTTACTTTTACACGGATGAGCTTTTGATTATACTTCTGTTTGTAAAAGATATTTTACAGTTGATCGTGACGTTTACAGGTAAGTTGATCCTCTAAAACTGGAAGGTTGATTGATTTCTTCCTCAGCATTTTTCACAGAGCTGTAAAAACTGTTAACACACAAAATAACCTTTGCCTGCTTTATTCCCATCATAACCAGAGAAATCTGAAAACACTCTCCTGATTATATTTCCCCATTTTTTTACAGAAGTCAAGATGATTTTGTCCTGGTGCCTGTTTATTCTGGCTTTAACATCGTCTACAACTCTAAGCACCAATCCTGGAGTGGAAGTCAGGCTAACAAACAAAGGCCTTGACTATGGTAAGACTTACAGCTGAAATATCCTCTGCAGCAATGTGACTGTAGTGAAAAGGCCTTCTGGGGGGAAGTTGATAGACAACAGCAGAAACATATGTGAGAACAAAACTATAAAAAAGAAATTTAGCAGAAAGAAGCAGAAAAAGACATAAAAAAGTTAATAAAAAATCCCAGAAAATGCTGAAATTAGCAAAAAGAAAGTGCAAACAGCAGAAAATTAGCTGAAAGAACCAAAAAAGCACAAATGTGCTGTAGCATGAAGGATTCCTCTTTCCATTTGACACATGACTCTACAGGTCATGTTTTCTAAACGCTCAGTTACAGTCGCACTTTACTCGTACAGGGCACACACACCCTCGCCAGTTGGTACACCTTGTTGTAGTATTCTCCAAAAGGAGACATGGAAGTGCATTTTATAACTTATGAAAAAAATAGGAAAGCAAAAGCTTAACGAACAAACTGTTTGAAAGGTGCATGACGCGTAGCCTTTGCGGAGGTACAAAAATGCGGAGGTGCATGGCCACGTTCAGGAGCACCGCGTGGAGTCAGCACGCAGGGGCGGGGACAGCACACACCCTCGTGCCGTGTTCAACCCGTCATCTATAAACCAACCAGTTCTGAAAATGCTTACTTAGAGTCAAACTCTGACCTAACTTTGCAATTGCAATTTGAGTGATTCCATATTTTTTTCCTCAGAATTGAGTGATTCCATATTTTTTCCCTGTACTTGGTCAATAAAAGTAACATTCACTGACTTCCACAATGTTTTTTCTTCATCTCTTTGAGTGTTCCTGAAAGCCAACAAGTTGYACTTTGGAATGACCTTATTATTGTATCATGTTTTTGATCTGAGTTTGTTTTACAGACTGAAATGTCTGAATGAGTGCTCATCCAAGACTGCTGATTCCATACTTTTTGCCTTGACATGCAGATCAATCTGACACAACAGACTGTTTTAATGTATTTGTGATTCATTGTATAAAAAACAACAGAAAGAATATTAAAAAGTGTCATGTTGATCACTCTAGTTCAGGGCTATTCAAATGGTGGCCCGCGGGCCCAAAATGCGGCCTGCCAATTGGTTCATTTATCTCTTATGTCCAAATCCCCGGTTTTCTACTTTAATATAAGTTCTTTTAGATAAACATAGACATGTCTGGTATCTACAGAAACATCTGAATCTTGGTTACAAGCTGGTAAAAAACATGTCTATGCACACTTAAGACAGTTAAAATTGCAAGCAGTTGAAGTTAAAACTGGGAAAGTGAAAATACAGTTGGTTTAAAAAGTCACAGATGTCGAAATAATATATGTGTTAAATAGGAGGCATAATGTGTTATTTTTGTTTTTGATATTGTTTTGTTATCACTAATTTTATACTACACAACTTTTATTATTACATAGGGTTCTGTATGTTGTATTCATGATTAAATGCAGCAAAATAAATTATTTCAAAGGTAACAGATCTTTGTAATGCTTTGTTTATTTACATAATGACTTTAACAGGGTTCCTGCAGATCCTTAAAAAGCATTAAAAGGCATTGAACTCGTCAATCCAAAAATAAGGCCTTAATTAGCCTTAAAATCAATCTTTCAGAAGTCTTAAAATCGTTGTAGCTAAATAGGATTATTGTAATTCATCTCAAATTTTTAAATAATTGGTAGCATTTATTTAGTTTTGTTAAAGTTAAAATTTTGTTTTGTTAAACATTTGGGTAAAATTGCGGCTAAGTTTATTTGGGGAGTTTTGTCCGGATGCATCTCATCTTAATCTTTTCTTTTAAATTTTTTTTGGTATTTTTTTGTGAAATTGGTCTTAAAATAAATTTCAAGTGCCATTAAAGAGGTCTTAAAATGTCTTAAATTTAGCTTGTTTTAAGCTGTAGGTACCATGTTTAATTGCTGGATGTTTGGCCCCTGAGCTATTGACCTGAAGTAACTTTGGCCCACGGAGCAGTTTAGTTGAATTGCCCTGCTCTCGTTGAATCTGAAAGTTGGTATAAATAGTCAATTTACTCACAAAGTGTTTGAAACAGAAGCTGAGAGCAGCTGTTTTCAGCTAATAATTTTTTGTGGTTTTTGCGTGATAACGACGTATTTTGTCATGTCATATGACTTGATATGACATATTGGGATTATGAAGTTATCACAAAATAACGAGAACCATTTTCTCAAGATAGCGAGTTGTGATTTTCTGTGCATCATTCAGTAACCATGGAGACGGCCTGATCCACTCAGCTGGTGACAGATAAAGTTGATTATATCAGCAGGATCACTGTGTAAACACCTGCTGATCTGCAGTCAGTCCAGTCGTCTCCTTAGATAACAAGGGTTGATATAAAAGTTATCTGTAAAATACAAATAAATAACAGTTTCATACAAAAATCACACGAAATTATGAACACAAGGTAGCTCGGGTCCATGCCTCCCTTGCAAATGAGATCTGCGATCTCAATGGGATTTGCC